GCTGTCAGCGTGCACTATCGGGATTTTGAGCACGCTTACAAATATTGAATTTGATTGCGCGGTTCTGCTAGCTATGTTCTAATACTAAATAGGTTCAAGCATATTTAACGTAACTCGCCATAGGACACGATTCAGCAAACTGGGGGTTGCCATCTTTATCATTTTAAATGTACCCTTAAGTCTCCTTTGCCTTTCATTATTAAGTTACCAAGCTTGTGAGTGCTTGCATGAGTTGGTAGAGCCGCCGTAATTGCAGTTGCAACCATAGACTCACTACTGAGTACCACCAAATTAAAGTGATCGTGAAACAAACAAGTTAAATAAAGAGTACGTTCAATTTTCTGACTATGTTTGGGATGTAAGATTTATTAAGCCAGAGCATAGACCTACAGATCAGTTAAAAAAAAAATCAATCTACTTAGGGAACAAATACTTTTATTTGAGGACTATGAAAGGCTTCCTGAAAATGATACCCGCTAAAACTAATCAAGAGGCGTTTAGAAACAATCGTTCTGATTGGCTACGCTTCTAACATCTGTTTGGCTGTCGCCTCGTTGTTTGTTGCCTTGGTTACCAACTAGGCTTCAATTACTTTCGCTTTTGAAGCTTTAGTTATCTCCTCGTCGCTTGTTTTTGGGCGTGGTTTCAGAGCTTGTTTTAAAAGTCTTGGAAACTTTGTCTCTCCAGTAGTTGTTGATGTGCCTGAAAAAGTTATTGCATCACAGCATCGGTGAAAATACACTAACTAGCACAAGTTTCCTGAAAGCCTCTTTTATCTCCCTACGGGTTTAGTATTGGAAAAATCGCTCGTAAATGGTTTGTTATAGTAAGAACTTATCGATAGGGAGTTTCTTAACCTCAGCTGCCATTTTCCAGTGGAACGAACTAGGGAACAAGTTCTCTCAAGACGAGATTGATCAATAGACCACTTTCATAAATGGCTGCCGGATTAATATTCTTTTGTTTAAATTTAAATTTGCCTAGGTGGCCTCGTTCTCCAGTACAAAATTCAAAAGAATACATTATCTCAAGCGAGGCCACCCAGGCAAATTTAAATTTAAACAAAAGAATATTAATCCGGCAGCCATTTATGAAAGTGGTCTATAT